ACGTTTTTTAAATCAAAAAAAGTTTGTTCAAAAAATGAAATGAAAATTATAATGATGATATCACCCTGCTAAGCTTCGATCAACAATACCAAATAGATAACGGGTCACGTACAAAATCATAGCTAAATACTGTCCGCGTGAATATAAACTTATATAGCTACATTTGTTTACCAAAGAAATTATACAAAAAATTAAAATAGTTTTAAGCTCAATCTAATTACAACCATCGCTTATAGTAATAAATTCACAAATCTTACGATCATTAGTCACAAAAAAAGAACAAAGCTATACAATACTCCTATCACTTGGAAATGAAAAGATATAAATTAAATAAACTTTGGTATGAAATCAACCTTAACGGGTAACAAATAAATTTCTTTTTTCCCGTTATTGCCTTGCGAGTTACGTCATTTTGTTATGTTTCTGTTTTCTTCTTCGAATTTGGTCCAGGAAGTATTGAGTCGCGTTGAAAACTAAAATAATTTATAATATGATCATAAGTTTAATTAAAATTATATTTATGTTTTGGGCATTTATGATTGTTGGTATACATACTTTCCACACTAGCCATTAAATATAATATAGTGTGTAGTATATTGATTGCATTTAATTAACTAAGTCGATATATATCTATTTTAGTTTTTGTATGTATATATGTTCGTAGTATGTATATATCTATGTATAGTATATATATATAAATATGTGTATTCTTTTTTATCACACCAATTTGCCCTACTTCTGTCATCTTCATGTAAGCCTATCCATTTATTGGTTGTCTGGAAGAAATTGCTGTCAGCAATAAGATCGCCCATTGCATACTTTTAAAACGTGGTAGAGTCATACTGCAATTATATTAGTAGTATAGTTGTAGCACTAATGGGTTGGCTCGACCGGTGAAGAAAGCTAGGAAAGCTAAAAAATATCTAAGTATCTATTGAAATTACACAAACAAAGACAAAATTAGCAATTACCATTATTTAAAGTTTTGGTAACGAATTATTAAAAATTATTACAATACAAATCTACTTCATGCGTCCATGTTATGTTTCACAAATGTTTGCACGTGTATTGGTCAACATTGGCAAAACATTTGTAGGTGCGGTTTTGATCGGTAATTTTGTTTAAAATATGATATTATTTGTTAGTTTAGAGCTTAAAATATAACATATTATACATGTAATTACCGAAAGTAAGACACTCTGGCCGTTAAATTACTTTTTCGGGCATTATTCTTGCAACTTTTGAATACACATTGCGGCATTGTGAAACGTGTTTACATTGGCTGTGTTTCAAGTGAACTAAATGAAACAAGATTGATTTCTTGCGCCGACCCGACATCTAGTTGGTATTGTTGATCGAAACTGCTAAGAAAATGAAAAAATATCTTCTAAATATTCGACAATTAAAACTGTACAAACACAATTTATACGTGGTAGAGCCATGCTGCAGTTATATTAGATGTATAGTTGTAGCACGAATGGGTCGGCTCGACCGGGGAAGGACCACGCTCTCATAGAATACCAGCGTGAAATAGTAGCTTAATGCTGCTGTGTTTCGTATGGTGAGTGTAGAGAACCGGAGACCCTTTTTACTGGAAACGAGGCATTCCATCGTAGTCCTCACGGGTGACAACGCATCTGCATTTTATTCGTAATTGAGGATAGATGTAGATGTCTATGGGCCACAGCAACCACTTACCATCAGGTGGACTGTGTGCTCGTTTGTCACCCTATCCTATAAAAAAAACCAATTGTAATCCAGATTAACTGTATATTTTCTATATAATATCACTTTTTCACTTACTTATGTAATTCGTCAAATAGCCTGGAAAGTGGTATACTTGAAAAAAAAATGGTATAAAATGGTATATGCGAAGAGAAACGACGTATAATAACCTCAAAATTTTATTAGTCAACTTGACTTAAGATAAGGTGTCCAGGTATAAGTTTCTATTTACAACTATAAAAAGTTTGAAAAATGTGACACATTTGGTAAAATATTTATTTCTGGTCCGAATTAACTCAAGGTTCCCAAATAGGTATCATAATTTTGTTTGAATAATTTTATCATTTTAAACCAATACAAAAAAAGTTTATAATCCACAATAATTGAAAACGCTCACTCAGCTGAGGTTAAAAAAATATTCTCATACAGAGGTTACAAAAAATCTCGCTCTTTATATATTCTTATAAGTACTTATTATAATAATTATATTTGTTATAAATAAATAAAAACCATTTTCAAGTGTGAAATTAAATTAACCTAATGAAATAAAAATTGTATTTACACGTTATCCTCATATTTTTGTATTAAAACTCTATTTGAATAAAAATAGTAAAAGTCAATTTTGATACAAAACTTTAAAGGATCTTTACCTTAGAGTGTAAGAACCTTTTTTTTTTTTGGTAAAATTGATAACCAAAAAAAAGTTTAGTTTCAAACTTTATGTATCTTCTAGTTTAGATAATAATCAAAAACCATTTATTTCGTCAATTTTTTTCAATTTAAAACAAAAACTGGTTATTTTGAATAAAATATAGTCTGTGAAGTTACAGATAGACACTTTAATTTTATTTGTACGTATAGATTTAGTCACAAACTTCTGATCATTTTTATAAAATTCAACGTAAGCCATTACTGACTATACTCTCCATTATAAAGCTTTTCATAACAAAAGCCTCACTATATGATAAGCCATTAAGATAGGCTAATAGTTAAATACTGGTTAAAAAACCCGTTGCGTAAGAAATTTACTAATAAGGCCTATGATATGATTATTACAGCGTTATTTTACATATTATCGTTATTTTATTTGCGATATTTTATATTTTATCACGCAATACGCACGAAATTATTTTTGTATCAAACATGCAACTTTACTTGTGAAGGTGCCCTTCACTTTACACATGTAGAAGAAACTTGACATTTAAAATTACATGTATTCATTTCAAACCGTTGCGTTTTGCGCTCAAATGACTTCAGCGGTTGTAAAAAGTATTCCATTATATTATGAAGTGCGCACTGCTGTGAAAATAATTAACTTTCAATAAAAATTTAAAATTAAATTATGTGGTAGAGCCAAGACTTACATTATACTAGAACACTATACTATAGTTGTAGCAAGAATGGTTCGGCTCGACCGAATCAGGACCACGCTCTCACAGAATACCAGCCTAAATAGCAGCGTAATGCTGCTGTGTTTCGTATGGTGAGTGTAGAGAAACGGAGACCCTTTAACTGAAATCGAGGCATTCCATCTTAGTCCCCAGGGGTGACAACGCATTTGCATTTTGATACTTAATTATGGATAAATGTGGATGTCTGTGGGCCACAGCATCCACTTACCATCAGGTGGTCTGTGTGCTCGTTTGTCACTCAAGGTTATAAAAAAACTACACAATACTAAAATATATAAAATAATTCAATTTAATTTTACATTCTGAACTTGGCACTGAGACATAATGTGTAGACAAATTGAGGTCCCAACTTTAGAATGTGAAAATATTTGTTTTAGTTGCTTAAAGTCGGCTATTAATTTTCATTTAAAGTTTTTTTTTCTAATTTTGTGTAGAATAAGAAAAATTTCAATCTCAATGTCGTCTAAATAGTTAGAAGTTAGAAGAGAAAGAAAGTTACGGTCACACACGAATAACTAGAATTTTGCATAATATGGTTTCCGTTGTCTAACCATGAGCTTACTTTAATAAGTAATATACTCAATTTTGGAACTCACTCATCTCATACTTGTCTTAGACATTTGTCTGGATAAACTTGGAAAGTAAAACAGTTAACTATTAAATTAATATATAAATAATTACATTAATTAAATCATACTCTTTTTAGTCGCCTAATCAGCGGTGCAATCTTTTTTTAAATTTATATGAGACCATCCCTGATTTGAAACATATTTAATAAAAAAAGAATTATTAAAATTAGTTCACAAAAAATATATAAATAATTACATTAATTAAATCATACTCTTTTTAGTCGCCTAATCAGCGGTGCAATCTTTTTTTAAATTTATATGAGACCATCTCTGATTTAAACATATTTAATAAAAAACCGGCCAAGAGCGTGTCGGGCCACGCTAAGTGTAGGGTTCCGTAGTTTCCCGTCCGTCACAATAAGTGTTCCCACTTATGAGTTTAAAGGTGGGGATCCATTATGTTCGCGCTCCAGCACCGCTCCGCGCTCCTGCAACTGCTCCCGGTAGTGGGTACTGTGGTTTCCATCCAAGTTCAAAATGATTTTCCTAGAAAGTCCTTATAAAGTTCTACTTTTCAGATTTTTTTCATAATTTCTAAACTTATGGTTCAAAAGTTAGAGGGGGGGGGACACATTGTTTTTTACTTTTGGAGCGATTATTTCCGAAATTATTGACATTATCAAAAAATAATTTTAGTAAACCCCTATTCATTTTTAAATACCTTTCCAACAATATATCACACGTTAGGGTTAAAATTAAAAAAAAATCACTTCCCACTTTACATATACGGGAACTACCCTAATAAAACATTTTTTTCCAATTTTTATTTTTCCACTTTGTCGGCGTGATTGATACACACATTGGTACCAAATTTCAGCTTTCTAGTGCTAACGGTCACAGAGATTAAGCGAGGACGGACAGACGGACAGACAGACATGGCGAAACTATAAGGGTTCCTAGTTGACTACGGAACCCTAAAAAAAGAATTATTAAAATTAGTTCACAAAAAATATACGCTCAAATTGTAAACCTCCTTTTTATTAAATCGACTAAAAGTAGAGGTGGTACATTTACAGACTCTTCAAAGACGATGTGCAGCTATATTTTTTTTTTTTGCTTCGAATCGGCTGCAGATGTCGACTGACTACAACACCAAATACAGTTCTTAAAAAGATTTAAAAAATGCAAGGTCGTTTTCTATTTATGTTTCTTATAAAGAAAAATATCCTTGAAAATTTACTTTAACATTGCTTAAATTTTACTAGTTTAACAATATATTTTCTTTTTTCTACAGAAATATACGTTGGTGCCGTGGAATGGGGCCCATTGCAGCCGCTCGGACGATTATCGTATTGTGCAATGCTGTTGCACGCAACGGTACTAAGGACGTACGGTGGTCAGATGAGGCGATCGTTCTATGCAACTGACTACACTGCTGTAAGATCATTTTGTTTCTATAGGTACAATAAGTGTATTTCATAATTTTCTGTTGACAAGATAGAATCTAAATTACCCTTTCCAACTTAGACGTTTCTAGGCTTGAATAAATTCGTATCATTCAGTTGATTATAAATGTAATATATTTAAGTGAAGTGAAATAAGTGAGGTTACATGGATAATATAAACATCATCATCATAATTTTTACAGCCCTTCAGAAGTCCACCGCTGAACATAGGGAAATAAAAAAAAATCAATCAAAACATCCCAAAGAAGGATTACTCTTATACTTAACTCATAAAAACACAAAACTACTAAACTGTGCAAGAATAGTAACATTAAAGTAAAGAGATCACCTAATATTCGTCCTACAGCTGGGGACAGGAAAGCTGTAATGGAGCAATTATTATATTTTTATTTTATAATATTTTTATTTCTGAGATATTCAGGTTTCCTGACGCCGTTTTCTTCACTATATTACACGTAGACAGTCAGAACTTTAAGTTAAAATTGACATTTTCATTGTTACCAGAGGGGATCGAACCTAGACTACTCGCTTACTGTTAAGTGCTTAGCCTCTGTTTCTCTGGGCTTCAGTAGCCACTTGATGGGTAGTAGTAATATATTTAGTTATACATCGATAATATTAAACATATGGCAACACTGCAAGTGTAACCTTATGATAGAGAAATAGTCGTAGGTACTAGATTAGTGTAAAGTTACCTCTCTTAAAAAAATTGCTGCATAAATAACTTGAAATCCTTATGACCGAAATAATTTAAAATATTCATTCTTATAATAAGGGTGACAAACGAGCATACCACTTGATAAATATATGTTCTGACCCATAGATACCTGCATCAATCCTGAATTGAGAAAGGAAGTGTAGATGCGTTATCACCCATTTAGATAGAATGCCTCGTTAACTAATTGTGTGGCATAGTTGGCTAGTTTACGATGAGACTGGCCGCCGTGACCGAAATTCGGTCCGGAGGACGTTAATAATCTGGATATTATTTTATCCTTTGTTCTTCTTTGAAGTCGGTTTTGACTTTTTCTGTTTAATCCTTACACAAAAGTACATTATTTTTACAGATTATGCTCTTCGCTGGAATTGTTTGCACGACTTTCCTCTGTTCACTTCCACTTCACCTATTTGTCGAGGCACCAGCCTGTCAACTGCAGAAGATTCTGTTAAGCCCTAGAAGGCCGCAGAAGGAACCTGAGAACACAAACGTCAGTCGTGTCAAGCCTGGCATTTCGAATATTTCTGTCTCTACCGTCTCTACACATATTTAAATATAAGTCGAATTATTTTAGTAAAAATAAACATTGTACGTTCTTATTACAGAAAGCAGTTTATATTTATTCTCAATTTTAAGCTTTAATCTGTTTTACGAAAGTCCCGCGGTAATGTATTCACTTTATATGTAATGTATGGAATTTGACATCAAATGACAGATTTCGCGAAGTGAGGCACTATGCGGGGCTAACAATCTTCCGCTCACCAGATGTCGTGACTAAGGTAAAGTTGTTTTGTTAATTATAAATAAAAGTTTATCAGCAACACTTGATAATAACCTCTTAATAACCTTTTTATTTTTCTACTTTTATGAAAATCTGTGGTTTGGGTTATTTATTTTTAGTTTACTTAATATAAAATATATATAATAGTACAGAAAAGAAAAATTAACCTTTACATATTCCGAACAATTTTACTTCTCTGCTATGAAATCGGTCAAATACACCTCTTTTTAAGGGGGTATAGTAAGTCAGCACAAATTCTAATTTCGCCCCCACTTCCCCGCGCGTCGTATTCTATGTATCGACATGTTTGTAATCACTAATACTGTAAGTAGATAGGTCGTTAGATACTTATTTCATTAGGTTTATCATATTTGTACCTGTGTCTTAACGCCAAACCAGTCGCTTCTTATTTTTATCACGGTTATTTCCCAATTTAATTTTACGTCGTCTTGTTGCGTAATGTTTATTCTGATCGTAAGCGACACAACTTATCCCTTCGAAAGCCTAAGCGATACTAACGGGACAACAGGAATCAAGCTTCAAGACGCCGATAGTTTAGGTAATTTCTTTTTACAGTGAAAAATGGTATTTAAAAAAAGTAAATAACATAAGCACTGCTTTATAGTTAGTTCAGTTAGTATGCAAAGTTTCATGATCTTATTTAAAGTATTTTACGAATAACAGCGGTTTATTGTTCAGTTTGGAGGTAACTTTGGATTTTTTTTCTATCGAGAAAATTTTACGGAAACTTGTTTTCGTCTAACATGGTCCTTAATATTAATCCTCAACTTTACCATATATTTATTTCAAAATTAATGCTGCAATACTTTCGGCATAACGGAGGATCTTGCTAAGCCATTTGAGGTTATATTTCCCCTTAAGTAGCGCCGCCCTGATGGCTATAAATAATTTTCTACCATACCATATTATAAATACTAGACTATCAATAAACCATATTTTATAATAAAGCAGCTAGTGATTGCGGGATATTTGGTAACATTTTCTTCTGGCGGTGTAATCTACTGCTGAATAATTCTATTTTCTAGAAGGAATTTTCTTTACTTAATACTAACTACGTGATGATTAAGCATCACGAGTCATTTCGTATTTGACCCAGCCGCCGTTCGCTAGTCTGACTATTATACGTCATATGTAAAATAAAATACCGTGTAGTGGCGGTGTAAGAATATCCACTACCCCATATCATCCCGTGGGTGTCGAAAGTGGTGACAGAGGGAAACAGGCAGGAGATGGGCAGCAGCGTCTTCCTAATAACGAATAAAAATAACTTCGGTTGCTAACCCGCTTGCCAAGCGTGGCAACTATGGCAAATTTCCTCTGAATCAATGTATGGGGGATTCCTATGTTCAGCAGTGGACTTTAATTGGCTGTAACGACAACGGTAAGTTGTATTTTATCTGAGGATTGAAAAATCGGCCCTGAGTCAAAGTATTTCTTTGCGCGGGCGTGTGTGGTGATTAATTTGTAATTAAAAAGATAAAACTAATAGGTTATACATTATACAAAACCATTTGGTAAAATGTATAAAAAATACATAGCGTCGAAAAAAACTATATTTACGGGTTTTATCGCGTTTAATAATTTGTTTTAACTTATTTTTAATTCCCGACGTTTCGGGCGCTTTACAGCACCAATCATGGAGGTTTCTCTAACCTCCATGGTACCAATTGTCGCGACAGAGATGTTTGACGTCCCCATGACATAGTTAGCCTGGCTCCCTTCAGTTTTTTAATATTAAAAATAAGTTAAAATAAATTATTAAACGCGATAAAATCCGTAAGTATAGTTTTATTCGCAATGTGTAGTGTTCGCGTAAATTTAAGAAATAATTATACATACCGTCGTTTACTAAGTTTAATATTAGGTAGAATTGCTTCTCTGTCTAGGAGTCAATCTAGGTAGACACCACCCTCTGATATATACCTGCCACCAAATAGCAGTACCTGCACTATTCTGTTTCAATTTGAAGGGTGTGTACACTTAAGTAGAAAGACAATACAATTATAGACTGAGAGGCATTCCATCAGGCGACATCGTATTATTTATAACTTACAAGTAGACTTAGTTGTTTAATATTATTTGCGTGTGTCCATAGGTAGCAATAGCCTCTTACTCTTAGTATACTCTTACTTCATTTGTCACTTCTGATTGATAATAAAAACTGTCAGTCATAGGACTGAACGTTATAAATGAAAACTTTTTGACTTTACAAACTTTATTTTTGGGTTCTCTTTACCGATTTTTGAAGTTTTCACTTCAAAAATAGGTAAAGAGAATCTATTTAACTAGTTTAGCTTTGAGTCGTAAACTAATGTAAACAAAGCCTGTGATAAACTATTCTCTTGACATAATTTGACTGGAAACACCGCTGCATCAAATATTCCGGCCAAGTCCCCGATGACAGCGATGCTTACACATAAAATACCCACATTTTGTCGAGGTTAAGTCTCGAAATGATAGATGGTCTGTTACTAGGCGAGGATAGTGACAAAGAAAAATGACCCTAGAAAATATTACAGAACGCTCTGAGTTTACTAAGATTGAGAAAGTTAGCTTCAGTCTGTTACATATTGCTGTCAGAGTCTGGAACTAAGTGATACGTGTTAACGGATATCATGACCTACATTTAATACCTTATTTTAAATTTAAAGATAATTTAATAGAACTACTGGATATTTTAATAACAGATTTTATGTTAGCAAAATTGCTTGTTGTTAAAGTGTTCATAGCCGACGTGATTTTTACATCTGATATGTTTCTAACGTGTTCTATATTATGTTCCTGAACGTATGAAACGTTTTAAAATAAAATCTAAACAGTCGCAAATTTGTTTGTTCATATACCAATAGGTCGTTGTAAAACGCGATATAAGGTCTACCATACTTATTATACTCTTTTTAAAATAAATGCAGTATTTAAGTATTTCTAATTGTTTTCATTAGAGTGCCAAACGGGCTAACGGTCCGAACTACTACCCATCAAGTGGCTACTGAAGCCCAGAGAAACAGAGGCTAAGCACTTAGCAGTAAGCGAGTAATATAGTTTCGATCCCCTCTGGTAACAATGAAAATGTCAATTTTAACTTAAAGTTCCGATAGTCTACGTGCAATATAGTGAAGAATACGGCGTCAGGAAACCTGAATATCTCAGAAATATTTTTTTTATAGAATAAGGTGACAAACGAGCACACAGTCTACCACACTGATGGTAAGAGGTTGCTGCGGCCCATAGACATCTACATCTATCCTCCATTAAAAATCAAAATGCAGATGCGTTGTCACCCGTGAGGACTGAGATGGAATGCCTCGTTTCCAGTAAAAAGGGTCTCCGGTTCTCTACACTCACCATACGAAATACAGCAGCATTAAGCTACTATTTCACGCTGGTATTCTGTGAGAGCGTGGTCGTTCCCCGGTCGAGCCGACCCATTCGTGCTACAACTATACTACTAATATAACTGCAGCATGGCTCTACCACGTATAAATATTATAAAATAATGATATAATAATTGCTCCATTACAGCTTTCCTGTCCCCAGCTGTGGGACGAATATAAGGTGATCTCTTTACTTTAATGTTACTATTCTTGCACAGTTTAGTAGTTTTGTGTTTTTATGAGTTAAGTATAAGAGTAATCCTTCTTTGGGATGTTTTGATTGATTTTTTTAATTGCCTATGTTCAGCGGTGGACTTCTGAAGGGCTGTAAAAATTATCATGATGATGTTTATAAACGTGAGTTACATCTCCACACCCATATAACCTTACTTACTTTCACTTCACCTTGGAATACAGAAGTGTGTGCTATTTATCTGCGTCATAAATAGGTAGTGGTAATAGTATTAGAATAATAGTAATAGGATTTCTAAGCAGAAATAAGCAGTAACAAATTATTTTTCTCAAATGTTTATTTCATTTTATTTTCAAGTTATATGCAATATTATTAGAAGCCACAGTTATGCTGTATTTCTTTTATTATACGCAACTAAGTGAAAGTCAAGTTGTCTTTGATAAAACAGTTTAACTTATAAAGTAAAACATGTTCCACCTCGCGCAACCGCTAGGTTACAAAACGTGACAAACAGGTTTCCAGTATAACGCTGAACTTTAACTGATTCTCTGCACGTACGACTGTTAAAACAAATGTAATGCAATGATATTGTTGACTTAAATGAATTATCACAAGACATGAATGGCTCTTTTTTAGATAAGTGGGGGTGACAAACGAGCGCCTGATGCAGAGCTTAATCTTTTCGTTACTATGATCGGTTATTGGCTTTTGCTGTCAAACAATTCTCAGTAGCAGTCCGGAGTTAGCTAGATAGAAGTTATTGACCTTGCCTCGTAGAGCACGTAAAGCCATTGGACCTGCACCTGATCACACTCCAATCGTGTCGGTCCGCTGTCCATCTGACTATGACGGAATAAAGAGCACATGTGCTTGCGCACACACTCGTGTACAATAATCTTGTTCCGTTGTCCGATAGCTAATTTTCATTGAAACTAGCCGCAGTAACCGAAATTGGGTCAGCATCAGGAGTAAAATACTAGGTGACTTTAATTTACTATTTTTACTTTACATTTAAATTTTTACGACTTTCAATTTAATATTTCTATAACGTCTATGTTGCTATATACTTATTTAATTAATTTATTCATAAAACAATTTCCATTGTATTTGAAATTACACATTATAAATTTACATAGAAAGGTTGATTACATTGCTAGTTACAAATTGCTTTAAAACCGAACGCA